TTAAATGCAATCCCCTTTATCCAACTAATAGCAGAAACAGATTTGAAAAAAATAGCATTAACTTTTAAATAGGATTTAATAATCTCATATGGACATTGCTATCCAATGTTTCTAAATTTCTGTCCAATGTTACATACGTCCTTTTGAAAAGTTATGCTTGAATTGACCAGCCAGATCGAAGTAAGCTTACGTAAGAGACCAAACTTCATTGTCAAACCAGAGTTTTGAAAGGCTTCGGCAAGTTTGTTCCAAGCAGCTGCTGCGTCCTCCGCATCCTGAACCAGACTATAATTGTAGCACAGACAAACAGACGTAACTCTTTGAAAAAGTTTTTCTTGAAAACATAGTTTCTCAAAACATAGGACCTCAGTAGCGACAAAACAAGCTTGCTCGCTAACTCGCAAACAATATTGCATAAAAGTTCTATAGAATGTATAGAAACATCAATGTGATCCGATGCCAGCGCTGCGGCGAGTAGTTCGCGTAACTGATAATATTCAAATCAACCGTTAAATGCGTGAACGAAAATACACAATGAAGAGTTACATCTGTTTGTCTGTGATTGTATCTTTCTAGCTTTCTAGGCTCAGGCAAATCGTTACCAACGCTCTCAGCTTGACGTCCACTGCAACGGCTTCTCCTTCGGCAGAATGAACAGCGCTCCAACTTCCTTCGCGGAGTTGCCCAAATTGAATAATCCTGATGAATGTGGGCGTCTGAAGAAGTCTGCACATTGTAGACGAAATACGCGTATCTGTCAAGGATAAGCAAATAAAGTAGTGGAATTAAATACAAATTGAATAGTTTTCACGGCCCTTCAACTTTTCTATAACCGGCATAGCTACGGAACCCGTCGTAACTCGAACGCTTCCCGCTTCAGTTCGATTTCCGCTTCTGCTGCTACTTCCAGTTGACATCTTGAAAACTTATTCTATTCTTTTCTTCCGGTTAGGTACTGGGTGCTTCAGGTTTGAAGGAACAAATCTAAATACTTGCTAACGTAACAAAATCGTGGGCTGCTTGGTTTTCATATCGCACCCATCAACACACATGAGCCGGGGACCAACGGCTTTACTTCTATTTGGAAGATGTGACCGGAGATTTCTATGCCTCAGGAAAATCCCACCGACCTCGGCTGCGATTGAGTCCAGACCCAATGAGGTGAGAAAGCAGTCACGCTCAGGCATGGAAAATCATTTGCATTCATTTTGTGCATTCATTTACATTCATTTGTCCCTAACTTTTTTCAACAACAGAATTCCGCAAAATAATGCATGTAGTTTTTGTAGGTTTTGTTATTAGCTACAATTTTTGTTAGCAACTCAAATCCGTATCTCTTATGCATGACGAACCAGAGCGAACAGCAGCCACTGCTGTTTTTCAGTGAATGTATTTTACATTCACTGAAAAACAGTAACAAGTTCTGCCCGCTGTAGTTCGTAATGCATAAGAGATACAAATTTGAGTTATAAGCAAAAGTTGTAGCTAATAACAAAGCCTACAAAAGTTCGATACATCATTTTGTGGAATGCTGTTGATGAAAAAAGTTAGAGGCAAATGAATGTAAATGAATGCATGAAATTAATGTAAATGATTTTCCATGCCTGGTCACGCTTACCATTACACCACCGGCGCCAGCGGGTATTACTTCGTTGAATCTACTTTTTTTAAGCTGCGAAAGATGCAGATGATATCAGCTGCGTTTGACAGATTCTGTACACAATTGGGTTCTTTAAAGGCATTGAGCTAAATGCATATTCGTAATCTGCATTAAAAATGGAACCCAAACCCAACATTTCATCAATTTTGGTACACTGGAACTATTTTAAATAAGTACGATTACATTTGCAAAAATCACCTTCGGAGACGAGCCAGCCAACGGCTGAAAGTCTCCTTAATAAAGATATAAAAAAAAATCACCTTATTAGCAACCCTCGGTGTCACTTTGTATGAGAGCGAGCTGTCAGTTTAGTGTCGAACAGTGAAGTTATGATTTTGCTTTAAATCTTGATTTAAAAATCGAGATGAAAGTGTGTGGATTCGAAAAAAATATCGCTTTGCTCAGAAAACCGAAGCTCATTCAGATGAAGTATAAAAAAAGATATATTTTTCAAAATTAAAGCACCCAATTGCAAAACAGAAATGAATATTAAATAAATTTCCATGCGATTTAGCCGAGAAAAATGTCCACTTAAAAAATGCTATATGATACATAATAAAACATTTGTTTAGGGCTAATAGGTTAAATAAGATGTAGACTTTGTTATGAACTGGCAAACGTTGTGAAATCTACAGGGTGAAAGGTAATTCCTGTCAGTGTTTTTTAAGCAATTGTAGTATCAAATGGGTTAATCACATACATGTCTGCATATTTTTCTTTTAGAGTGTGTTCAAATGTCAACACGGCATGCAAGTTTGTTTTGAATTTTCATTCGTTTGATACTCTTGATAATCATGGACGCGAAAGGGGAACTCGTGATAAGCCTGTATTATTTGAAAGCATCATAGACCGTGTTCTATTTTGAAGACGCTGAAACCACTCGGAATAAACGAAAGATTCATCTTTCGCACCATTAAACGGTACAAGGAAACCGGTTCGTGGAAAATGCCTCCCAGACCAGGCCGAAAACGCACACACTTAAATTTTTTCGCCGAGATTTCAACAGCCGAGTAATTCTGCAATTTAATTTGCTGAGATTCAGTCAAACAATTGCCGAGACTCAGCTAACAAATAATATTTTGCTGAGATATCAGCTAACAAACAGATATTTCGCAGAGATATCAGCAAAAGTGAATGCCGAAGTAATCGGCTATTGGAGATTTTACCGAGCTAGATTAAGTATGCAGTGTCAGGACTCCGGAAGTTATCAAACGAGTGAGAGAGCGAATTCGGCGAATCCTTGTAAGTCTGGGCGTAAGATGGCCAAAGAACTCGGAATGTCGCAGCCAACGGTCAGAAGTATTCGTGAAAGATGATCTCGGATTGAATGCTTACAAAAAACAGCGGGTGCAAAAGATAGCTAGAGTCGAAAGATGTCGGAAACTGCTCAAACGGCACGGTGATTGCAAAATTCTGTTTTCGGATGAGAAAACGTTCCTGCTACAGGATCACCACAAGCAAAATGATCGGGTAGATGCTGCATATCTTGCTGATATTCCTCGTGACAAACTGGCTGTTCAAAGGTTTCAGAATGTTTCCAGGGTGATGGTTTGGGGATGTTTCTCCAAAACATTGAAAGTTCCATTGCTGTTCATTGAACCTGGTGTTAAAATCAACAGTAAATATTACATCGATAATGTTTTGAAGAACCACTTGCTTCCCTTCGTCCAAAACATAAGAATGCACCATACTGCTTCCAACAAGACTCTGCACCGTCCCATCAGGCAAAAGCTACACAGACTTGGTGTGAGGCCAATTTCCCGGATTTCATTTCGTCAAAAGAGTGGCCTGCCTCCTCACCCGATTTGAATCCTCTCGGTTTCTTTTCATGGGGCTACAAATTAGGCGAACTAGGGAATACTAAGGGACTAACCGTGGAAACTTTTAAGCAACGTTTGGTGAAAATATGGAACGAAATGCCTCAAGATATCGTGCGTAATGATTTTCAAAAACGGATGCTGCTCGTAATTAAAGGAAGACTGGCAACTTTGCCAAAATTCAAGCGACAGATACAGTAGCGCTGCGCTTGAGTGAAGGTGGAAGCAACGCATAGAAAAATGGGCAAATACACAAACCCTTCGTCTGAGGATGTAATCTGTGCTATCAAATTCTTTCGAAGCATTCACCTTTGCGCGGCAGATGACGCGATTGTACCTGTCTCATAGCGTTTGTATGAGAAAATGGAACAGTTGCCAGTCTTGTTGGTTTGTTGTTTTCGCTTTCACCCTGTATATATTATATGAATGAATTTGTCTGTCTGTCTGACCCTTATAGACTCGGAAACTACTGAACCGATCGGAGTGAATATTGGTATGTAGGGGTTTTTGGGGCCGGGAAAGGTTCTTATGATGGTTCGATACCCCTCCCCCATCTGGTTGGCTCCCATACAAATGAAACAGATATTTCTGCATAACTCGAGAACTAATCAAGCAAACGGAATCAAATTTGGCATGTGCAGGTATAAGGAGATGTTCATAGAGGGTAACCCCTTAGATAAGAGAGGGAGGGCTACGTACAATATGGCATTCTTTTTTATTCGGCGCATACACTCAAGCTTATATTGAATCCCGAGCAAGGCCAGGTACTCAGCTAGTATTCTATAAACAATAAAATGACGAATGACCAATTGGTTTTTGTTGACTACTTAATAAAACTAAATTGAATAATGGTTGCTCTCATCATACTTTTATAAAACATAAACACAATTGAGAAGGAAAACCAAAACAAGAACAATTAAAATAAATAATGTTTGTGTCTTATATGACTCATAAGTTCGAGAGTTTGTTGTTTGAAAAACATCTATAGGTACTAACGTGAGCTGAGAAGCTTTTGGCTTGAAAAGTTTCAACCTATATCTCTCGAAAGCTCTGCAAGCTATCACAACCAATATCGTTTCCTTTCACAGGTTTTCTCCATTTTTAGCCATGCATGCACACAGGGAGAATCCTTAAATACGTTTCGAGTCTTGCCATACCTACCAACATGCTTCCCTCGTCCTTCATTTTTGCTATATACCTATAGTAACGGTTCTCCTCGGCTTATGCTACGTTGGCATCATTGTATGGGTAAGAAACATTACTCCGGCACTGGCTCCGGTGTAGATATGTAGGTGCGGGCACTGTGTTGCTTCCGCCTTTGATGTCTGCGCGCGTATAAGCTTTTCCTGAAACGAACATGGGGATGTTATTGCCACATAGACCGGATGGGGATGGTGGTGGTGGAGAAAAGCAACACGAACCACACGGGTTGGGGGTGGTGGAAATCTGAGAAACAGACAGACAGTATACACACAAGGGCAGTTCTGGGTGTCATGGGCGTATATTTTTAAGCATACGGAAGGAAAAGGTTGGACTCTAAATTCGCTGAAAAGGATCAGATTTTAAGAGTGAAAAAGTTGAAAGTTACCTTTTTCCAACTAACATTTGGAATAATTTAGGCAAACTCCGTCGGAACTCGCTGGAACAACCGCAGCAGTGGATGTGATTCATAAGGGGGTTAATTTTATTGATTGCATGTTTCTGCAGCGGTGAATGAAAATCTCATAGTTCATTCACTTTTTGTTGGCTCCTGGTGCACTGGAAAGGATTGAACTGACGAAAAGCAAGTGACTAACGAATTGATTTAAGCAAAAAGCTAGAAACTATGGATTTGAGGAACAAAGTAGCATTGGTCACGGGAGCAGCAACAGGCCTGGGTCGAGCCTTCTGTGAGGAACTTTTGAAACATGGCGCTAAGGTACTTTTGCGAGTGAAATTTTCCAACTTCCTGGTTTTGATAGCAAACTGTTTCTTTTTCTTTTTTTTTTCTTTTTTTGTTGTTTGTAGGTTTCCATTTGTGATCTTGACTCGGATGCCGGTGAATTGACAGCCAAGGAATTGGAACACGAGTTTGGAGCCAACCGAGTCCTGTTTTGCCATTGTGATGTGACGGATTATATTCAATTTGAAGGTATGAAAATCACCAGAACAACTTCATTGGAATACGGCAAGCGATATGTCTCATAATCAATGCAATTTTCCAGAGGCATTCCAGTATACCAAGTCCGTCTTTCATGACATCGACATAGTGATCAACAATGCAGAAATTATGAACGATAAATTTTGGGAGCTCGAGGTGGACGTGAATTTGAACGGAGCCATCCGTGGAACATTACTCGCACAGCAGTTCCTTAGTAAGGATAAGGGTGGTAAGGGAGGAGTGCTGGTGAATATTGGATCCGCCGTGAGTGTAAAACCCCAACTTTCGACCCCCATTTACACCGCCACAAAGCACGCGATCCTCGGATTAACCAAATCCTGCGGAGATCCATACCACTACAATATAACTAACATCAGAACCATAGCGTACTGCCCTGGGCCAATCGAGAACTCGTTTTCCCACAACAAACGGTTCAGCTCACCTGCGCACGAGAAGGCATGGAAACTGGACATGTCCGGAGTACAGTTTCAGAAGTAACTTAAATTGGTTTTATTCGCACGGGCAAACAGAAAATCAATGCATTTTTTTTTTCAATTGCAGATTGGAGCACGTGGCACGCGAGCTGATGCCACTGATCAAAAACGCTCCCACCGGATCCATTTGGTTGGTAAGCAGCGGTAAACAGCCAAAGGAAATATCCTACAGCAGTATTTAAATTTTCCCTGCATTGAAGCTAGGAACAACCGAACACAAAGTATTCTACCAACTAATCAAATAATTTCATACATAAATGAATTCTTAATTAGCTATGGAATCATCTCTTAACAGTAACTCGTAACTCATCATGACAGTAAGCATTATTTACCACTTAACGATAGGCCGTTAACTTTAAGGCTGCTAACATGACAAAAAACTAATAACATTAATGTCTCCTATTCCGTACACAACTCGCTTTGTATTAACTACATCAAACCATCAATGTAGCGTATAAGAAATGACGAAAGAAAATCAATTTTGTATGACACGATTGGTTTGTAAAATCAAACACATAAAACGGCTATCCATACTGAAAGCATACAAAGAACATATATTTATAACAAAACTATACTAAAGTAAGTATTGAAATCATCATTATCGCTTTTGGTAAGAACAATTTAGCAATAAACTGTGAAAGGAATAAACATAAAAGTTAAGCTCGATGTTTCCTTTCAGATGTCCTGGGTAATTGGTGAAATTTCGCCTCGACTCGGAGGTACAGTAGAAAGCAGACTAGGGGCGATAGGTTTACACTGAGGGAATGTTCTTTTGATTTCTTCTTCATAGATTGCATATTACTCGTCCAATCTCATATCTGTCCCATTTGCAAAAGCAGCAATCCAGCAAACCTAGTTTACACAATTCAGTTCATTGAGTGGACCCTTTGAAGTCTGTGGGATTCATTTTGCTTAGACTGACTGCACACTTCATGATTGATCCGAATCAGTTAAATTGCAACGTCAATTTATCCAGCGGGACAAACCCAACGAATTTCAAAGTTGATACGTGTTTTGGAATGTACCAATAGCGTACCTTCAAGGATTTTGAACGTACTTCAAAGCATCCCGGAAAACTCGTGTCCTGCTGGATAGACATACGATTTCAGCAATGACCAAGTCGATCGACCAGATTTCTACGGAAATGTGACGTACCAAATGCGTACTTTACGAATCTGTCATTTATTTTTAACGTACCTCTTATTTTCACTTAAATGCTTGTACTAAACTTTTTAAATCGTAGTTGGTTGGAAATGCTAACATGAAGCTTTAGTGTGATAATTTATTAGCTAGAGAATGATCTTTAGAAGAGGGTAGGTGGATAGTTCCGTTAGAGTACAGCAGTATGAAAATTAAAAAGAAGTTGAACATGAGCGAAGAGCCATTAATGCGACAGTATAAAGACAAACGCACACCTTTTGCCTAACCCGTACGATGTACGGGGGGACTTGAAGTATGCCTTCAAGTCTACAGGCAAAAGATGTGCGCCCGCGTTTTGCTCATTGCTGACTGCGGCTGTGGAATAGTTCTAGCGATGAAACCATCACTACCTGAAGCCCCACGTTGCGAGAGCATTTCCTGTCGATGGTGTGTTATAATGCAATTCTATCAGAAAGTGAATTCCAGTTAGGCACGTTGGTCATGACCGATCAGAAAGTGTTCCAGGGATATTCAGGAATAGTATCTGAAAGATATCTGATCATTTGATCAGGTTTTCTCTAATGTATCATCGAAAAAAATGGAATTTTTCAAATAATATTAATTTTTATTTAATTCACTGGTAAATTCTATCAGAAAGTGACTTCCAGTTAGGTACGTTGGTCATGACCGATCAGAAAGTTATCAAGGCATTTCTCATGATGGAGTTTTCTAAGCAGCACCGTGCGTCTCCATAATTATTCATGAAATTAACTGTTTTGTTCAAAATTAGTATAAAATTATACTAATATATAAATTAGTATTAGTATAAGTTATTAGTTCGGGCCTTCGGGGGGCGTTTTTAAAAAATAAAATTAGAACTACCAACTTACTCGACTGAAGGTCTCAACTAGAATGAATTTATTCTTCTAAAGCAAAAAGTTACAATGTGCTATATACTAAAGGGTTTAATGGAAAACGCCTAGTGCGCAAATTATTACTTATATGCTATCTATGTTTTGTCTGCTGCTAACCGGCTCGGTGTCGCTGATGGATGATCGCCTCGTGGAAAGGAATGGGAATGCTGATATACAGAAATATGATTATGCATTGGGATGCAGTTCTGTTGTTGTTGTTGTTGTTGTTGTTGTTGTTTCTGTTATGTCTTATTATTGCTGATATCGACTGAAGTTCCTGTCGATAGTGTCGTTGAATTGCTTGTAATTGGGTTCTGGTATGATTCCAGGAAAGTGCTGTACTTAACTCGTCCCTCCTTCAAGTTCGAATCGTCCCGATTCAATTTCTGAGGTTGAATGACCGTCGGCTTTTTTGTAGAGGATAGTGGATGCATCTAACGGTTGTTGTCTAGCAACACTGTTGAGCTTCCGGCTGAGTTTTTTCCTAGCTACGTATGTCATGATAATGACGATAATCATGATGCTTATGGTTGACATGATTAGGGATGTGATGGTTCGAATTTCATGATGATTAGTGAAATTCTCCAACGCATGTCTGTTTATTATGTCGACTTCTTTCACCCTCAATAGTGGTTCGAAATTACTTTCTGCAATTATGAGACCATCCAAAGGTAACATTATTGGAGGCTCGGCTTGAAAAAATTCGGCATTCTCAAATTTTGATCCGTTTGTGCTCAGTGAACAATTATGGAATTCAATGAGATATGATCCCGTTAGGTTCCTGCTCGTAATTCCACAGGTGGATTTAATTTCCAATGATTGGACTTCCTTCAGTACTAGCAAATTTCCTGTGATCAGTTTAATTTCTGTAGGGTTCTTGCAATTTGTAAAAGAGCAATTTGCTGAATGTCCTTGAAGTAGGTTTGGTAGACATTTATCTTGGGTAATATTTTGTACGTTATCCCGGGTGCACAAAGATAATTTCTGTATACGTTTGCATTTGTTGATAATGATGAAAGTAGTCTTGTCGTTCCGCATGGCGTGGGTCTCCGGAAGTTTTAGAATCTTATTTCCTAATGGCAATGGTTCTAGATAGTATTTTTCATAAACAGAATCCTCTATCAGAGGGATCAAAATAACAAAAATGATCTTCGAATTATTATGAAAAGCTGATAAATCTAAATAATCATATGTTTCTTCGAGACTGGTGAGTACAACTCCCTTCTCTTCTAATTTCATAGCTGCAAAATCTAATTCTTGGGGTGACAAAATGTTTTTTGACAGAATTCCTATTTTTGCTAATTTAATTGACTCAAAAATATCTTCTAAATGATCCTTTAAATAATCTAGGTTGAAATGTATTTTAAAAATTTCTTTAAAAACAGTAAAGTTTTTTCCTGCGTTATTATTTCTAGCTAGTATCAAATTTTGACTAATTTGTGTTTGTTCTCTTGATAATTGATTGATTATTTTGTTTATTCTGTCTTGAAATTGAAAATTGATTTTCCTCTGCTCATTATTTTCGTTTATAAGAATTTTATTGTTTATAGATAAATCTTGAATACTTTTTGAAATTTCAATTAAATCATTTTCATCAAGGTTGCCAGTGATAGCTTTAATTCCGCTCCCTACAAAATTGAACAGTCCTCGCTTGGCTCTAAATCTAGGCTGTAGCTCAGTGAATAGTTGCAAGGTATTGCTCAGTTTTGTGCTTAGGAGGTCCGTCATTTCGGTAAAATTGCCAAAAGAGTTAATTCCGTTAATATTTATCCGTAGCTTCCTGAAGATAGGGTTATAATTATCTAAGTTGATCGTATGGAAGAGTTTGTGTTCTCCTATCTTCAAAAAGCTAAATCCCTCTTGGAGTGTGATTAGACCAGGGTTTGGATTTAAATTTGTAATTTTTATGGATTGGGTATGGACATGGGATTTTGAAAGAAGAAAGGATAGGATGCCGATACATACTGTGATGCGTACTTCCATCGCGACGTCAAGTTGGGTTTTTCTTCTTCTCCCTTCGTTGGGTTTCCTAAAAGGAATGCCTTATTAGTATGGTTTGAATAATATAGATTAATGATTTAAGACAACTATTTACGATGAAGTTTGTCAAGGTCTTACAACTGCTGGTGTTGACATTTTAAGAGCGGGTGTTCCACTCAAAGCTGTGTCTATTTCCTTATGCGATGCATTTTATTTTTATGAAATTTTCTTTCATTTTCGTCGTAGAATGTTTGAACTCTGTCATTCTGTACGTTTGTCGGTTCAAACCGTTGTCTGCGTTTAGCTTTTATGCCTTGACTTTTTACGAAAGCTGGTTGTCCTATTTCAAGTGCGGGTGGTGTTTCCCTGTTAGTATTATGATAGGTGTGCTGGTTGGTCTGCGTTTTAGTATTTGTCAATAAAATTTCATCGTAGAGCTTATCTCGGGTTAGAAATAATTGTTCTCTGTTGAGAGGTCTCTCCTCCCCATCCTTTACTCCAAAAAACGCTTCACGTGGTTTTAGGTTGGTGGAAGTGTGGATTGCGTTGTTATATAATGTGCAGGCAAGTAAAAACATCTCTTTAAGTGAAAGGTTGGCATATTTGTGCCTATTACACCTAAATATTTCAATCAAGGTTGAATGAAAGCGTTCCACTATGCCATTGGTTTCGCTATTATTCACTGGTGTGAAATATTGTTGAATCCTTAAGTCGGCGAGCATTCCTCGAACCTCAATAGACTTTAGGGCTGGCTCATTGTCAGAAACGATGAGACCCGGTTGTCCGTAAAGAGAAAAGTATTTAATTAACGCTTTCCTTATGTCTGGTGTAGATCTGGACTTAATTGGAATCAAAGATGCAAATCTTGAGAATTTGTCAACAGCCGAGAGAAATATACTTGGCTGTGATATAAAAATATCCATGTGGACGATTTCCAATGGTTTCTTGGGAATGGGAGTTTCGCCTAACTGGATTCGGTATGGCTTCCTCTCATATTTCATTTTGTTGCATATTTCGCACAAAATAACGTATTTTCTAATTTTTGATTTCATTCTGGGAAAGAAATGCCTTCTCAGAATTTCGGCATGGTTTTCCCGAATTCCTCGATGAGAGGTTTCATGAGTTTGCTCGATTAACAAATCTTGTTCATTCTCATCAGGGACATCAATAAGTATTTTCTGGGATATTTTTATTCGAAAAGTTCTACACCTACTAAAATAATTCTTATAGACCATTTGTACGGATTGCATCATGCTCTCAGGGCACATTATACAATTTTGCCTCTTGAGATCCATGCATTCTCTGAAAATTCTAATTAATGCGGGGACCCCGAAGTGGAATTTGGTAATTGTTCTACGATGTATTTTTGGAAAGATTGTTTCAAAAGTTTCAGAATCATTTTCTCCAATTTTCAAGATAATTTGATTATGGAAGAAATTAATTGGTTTTTCTGTAAATTCTATAAGATCTGAAGAGTCTGAATCAGCGGAATGTACAGAGTCTTCATCCGAAGGGTCATCTTCGTTAATATTAATTTCATGAGTGATTCTAGAAAGAGCATCTGCCACCACATTTTGCTTCCCTGGTCGATGTTTGATTTCGAAATCAAACTCGAGAAGTTTTAAC